AAAAGAGGGTATAGAAGCAACTTTTACCTTTTTTCAAGAAACAAAGGCTAGAACACAAGCCTGGTTCAAAGGAAACACAGAAAACGAGGAGTAATACCTGTAACAGGTAGCCATACACCTCCCCCACCCTATCCTCCCCCCCCCTACCTACCAACCAATAGGCTACGAGCCTCACCTTCATCTAGTTAAAACCCCTCCTAAATATCGTAGCTAGAAACAACCTACTTAGATACTTGTAGGCCTAAAAACCCTACACGTCTTATATAGCCCTTCGGGCTGAAAAAGGACGTTAAACTAGAATAATAATAATAATAATAATAAGTAGATAATGGTTATAGCTTATATTTGTTTAGATAGTATAGCTTTAAGTCTAACACTTATCTTCTAGGGATCTAATAAGTTAGTTTAATTAAGCTAGGTTAAAGCTATATAAGCTAACGAGCACTTAGTCTTTGTAACCTTATCTCCCTCTAGCTATACTCATAATAATATTAGGTTAGCTTAGCTTAAGGGGGTTTTTGAACAGGAGACTAGACCATACGCTTTAACTAGGTATTAATTATTAATCCTTAACGGCCACGGATCCTATATAACTATGGAGTTTATTGAGTATTGCTACAACAACAACATTCTCTTACTTATATTTCTACCTTACGCTACATATACGCTTTAACTACTTAATGTGGTGATGTTTAAACCCCTAGCAACAGCTTACTGAACTTAGTTATCTAGATACCTACAGGACAGCCAGGGGTTGCTTAATTTGACTAAAGGAGACTTCTTCCCGCTCTTCTAGAGGTTCTGGACCTCTGTATTCAGGCCTTAACTTATTCAAAGGTCTTTTAAAGCCACTAGTATACAGCTAGCCAACCTAGACGTTGTACTTAAGAGGTTTGCCAAAGAGGCTTTAGATTTTAAAAGCAGCTAGTTAGTCCTCTCTAGAGACGATTAGCTTAAGCTTAAATTAATTGTACGCTGTGAGGTAAAGGATTAGAGTAGTAAGTGTAACGGGCTAGGTAGCCCGCTACAGTACAGATAGCGGTGGCTATCTTATGTATCAACTACGCAACGATATCAGCAGCTCTGATATCTTGTGCCAGCCTTTTTGGCGCGGTGGGCGCGTTGTAGTTGCGTGCGCAGTCTAATAGGACTCGACCCGTTACAGTAAGGATGTTAAGAAGCTTTAACGAAGCTTGTGCTACATCTTAGCTTAAAACAGTATACTTTATAAGGAGATTAGGGGCCTTAGATAGTCCCTAGCCATCAAGGAGAGGCGACTAAAGCAGTTATTCGCCCTCTAGCTTGATGAGGACGAGGTTTACTATAGGGGAGCTAAAATATGGTCGCCTAGGAGTGTACAACGATCCCGCGATTGTTAGAAGGCATAATAATAACAAGCTAAGCTTAAAAAGCTTTAAAAAGCTAAGTAAGCTAAGATTAAGAAGGCAAATTGCGATTATAAGCTTTAAATTAAAGCTGTAAAGCGTGTTAAGCGGGAGAAGGGTTAGGAGGAGAGTAGAAAGTGGAGGGCTATAGAGCAAGCTGAAAAGGAGCGCTGTAGAAGCCTCCGCAACGCTAAAAAAGCTATACAATTGCCCTAAAAGGGTAAGCGCAAAGCTTTAAAACCTTATAAGCTAGCTACAAAGCGTTAAAAGCGTGGTGGTGTTGCTCTAGCGGTGGTAAGAGCCGTAAGGGGTGCACCAGCTGTTGTACTGCGTAGTCGACAAGACTAACTAATAACGCCCTCTGAAAAAAAATCTAAATAAGCTAAAACTTTTGTAGGCCTGTATATAGTATAATCCTAGCTTTACGCAATTTTATCACGATTTGTAGGGGCTGTACAGCCTCATCTTTTTGATTATATTGTTGTTGTTGGGGTGTCCAACTGGCGACCATGACCATCTGGCGCACGGTCACTGTAGAGAAGCACTCATCCCGCCATGGTCAGAAGATGGCGTCACGGCCTCGAGGATGGGGCAGACGCTATTATCTGGTGTGGGGAGAACATAGACGGCGGATGCCCAAGTCCCTCAATATCATGGAGATGGAGACATGTCTGGGCGGACTGGCGGAAGCTGATAGCGGCGGTCGAGGGCCTCGCACGGATACACGGGCACATGTAAAGGGGGACGATTCCAAACTCCAAAAGCAAGCGGGACTCGACTTTGAGACTGCGGTGAGGTGTTGAGAGAGGGCACATGTGTGCCAAAAGAGAAGGGAGCACTGCGGGATTAACGGAGCCCACTATGCCGCATGCAAAAAGCCCCGGTGACGTGAATGGAGAGGCGGTGCCGGGCAGGACGGGTGTCCGGATTGCGGTCGGAAAAGAACGGGTCCAGCACGCCAAGAACAAAACTTCTCACCAACAATGACGGTTTTGGCTTGCTAAATCTCCGACTGTCCATCCCATCTTCAACACCACACCCAACTCTCCACTCCACTTTCTTCGCCTGCCCCCCATCCACACCAGCGACATGTCTACTGCTCCCCCTCCCACCGCCACCGGCTCCTCCAAGCTCGACGCCGTCAAGGCCAAGGTTGGAGCCAGCGTCGACCCAGCCGCGCCCACCGGTGCCGCTCTGTACGCGCGATTCGCCTTTGCTGGTGCTGTCTGCTGCTCCGTCACTCACGGTGCCCTCACGCCCGTCGATGTGTATGTTTTTCCGCCCCGCAATGGCCCTGAGCGATGACAATGGCTGTCGGCAGCATTTTCTCGCGATAACAGTTGGCTTATCGAAAATGACGACAGAATGCCAAGCTAACATTCTTCGCAGCGTCAAGACCCGCATCCAACTCGACCCTGCTACCTACAACAATGGCCTGATTGGCGGCTTCAGGAAAGTTATCGCCAACGAGGGTGCCGGCGCTGTCTGGACTGGTTTCGGTCCTACCGCCGCTGGTTACTTCCTCCAGGGCGCCTTCAAGTTTGGTGGATACGAGTTCTTCAAGCAGCAGTCTATTAACATGCTCGGCTACGAGACCGCATCCAACAACCGTACTGCCGTCTACCTCGCCTCCGCCGCCGTCGCCGAGTTCTTCGCTGATGTCGCTCTCTGCCCCCTTGAGGCTACCCGTATCCGTCTCGTCGGTGACCCAACCTTTGCCAACGGTCTCGTTGGTGGTTTCACCAAGATCCTCAAGAACGAGGGTGTCGGTGCCTTTTACTCTGGTTTCGGCCCCATCCTGTTCAAGCAGTATGTCATATTCTTCTCGTGCTCCAACACGCCCACCAACTAATCGCTTTTTTCACAGGGTCCCCTACACCATGGCCAAGTTCGTCGTCTTCGAGAAGGCTAGCGAGGCCGTCTACACCGTTGTCGACAAGAGCAAGACCTCTGCCGGTATGCAGACTTTCTACAACTTGGGCTCCGGTCTGGTGGCTGGTTTCGCTGCCGCCATCATCTCCCAGCCCGCCGACACCATGCTTTCCAGGATTAACAAGACCAAGGGTCTGCCTGGAGAGGGAACCACGAGCCGTCTAATCAAGATTGCTAAGGAGCTTGGTATCCGTGGCTCTTTTGGTGGTATCGGTGCCCGTCTTTTCATGGTTGGTACCCTGACTGCTGGTCAGTTCGCCATCTACGGTGACATCAAGAAGGCCCTGGGCGCGACAGGAGGTGTTGAAATCGCCAAGACCAACTAAGTTTACGTCTTGTGCGTTTCGGGGGGAGTGGAAGAGATGATTCCAGCACAGCCATGACATCAAGTCTCGAAAGATGGGCTTGTTTTTACGCAAAAAGTCTGTCTTTTTTTCCTTTTTTAAAGGCTGGCATGGGGTTTGATTCGATGTCACATTTGGTCTTGTATTACCTGTGGTTGTGTTTTATTTGCAGCCTTTCGGTTTGGGTATTGCTTCACTATAGAGGGCGATATCATGTAACAGTACGATTTGGTCGGAACATTTGCTGCACAATAGACTCAACTCATAATGTCCAACTGATTGCATGACGTGACTTGATTTAATTGACTAGCAGCCGAAGTTCAGGTATTAAAATGTTTCAGGATATTCTCATGATATTCCAAGAAAACTCGTCACAGGCTAGAAGTATAGAAATATTTCAGTTGTATTCTCGTAATATCCTACTAGTGTTCATAGTTAGAAGAATTGGTCTTGTTTCGTATCTCAATGCCCATGACAAGTGATTCTTGCATCGCATCCCATACCAATCTCTTGGATATCCAAACCTCTGTGCGTAAACTACTATCATACCCCATGCTTCACATCTCACATCCCACAAAAGCCATATCCTCACCTACCCAGCCTCGGAAACCGAAACCCCGCAGTCTCTCCTCTCTCCACGCCTACCGCTCAATCCGGGAAGCTCTTTATACTTGACTGCCTTGGAGCGACGCAGAGTTGTAGTACTGCACTTGCTCGGCGATGGAAACGGTGTAGCAGATTGCAGCTCCATATTATGAGTGGCGGTAGTAATATGGTTATGGTTATGGGTGCTGTGGATCCAGTGTGGTGGTGGTTTGTACATTTCCTCGGGGGTTGCTGGACGAGAAGAGGAAGAGGAAAATGATGGTGATGGGGGTGATGGGGGTGATGGGGGTTGTGCATCCGCCATAGGACTATCTTCTCGTACGACGTATGAGACGTATAGAGTTTTCGTGTTTCGCTGTTCTGGTTCTGGTTCTGGTTCTTCGGATACTTGCTCTTCTTTCTCTTCCTCTTCTTCTTCTTCTTCTTCTTCTTCTTCTTCTTCTTCTTCTTCTTCTTCCTCTTCTTCTTCGTGTTCATCGTTGCCATTGTCATTCCTGCTATTGTCATCGTCATCGTCATCGTCATTACCCTTCTCATCTCCATCTTCATACTCAACTTCATACTCACCAGCTTCAGCATCTCCATTTCCCTCCTCCTCCTCCTCACTTCCCTCACAAAGACTAGTCTGCCTGCACAACCCACCACCACCACTACCATCATCATCATCATACAGGTCCTCGCTGAACATGGAGGTGCCTGCGGGAAACAGATCGTACCGCGGCTGCGGCTGCGGGTGCACGCGCACGAATTGGTCTTGCAGGTGCTCGTTGCCGCGTACGGTCCCTACTCCGCCTCAGCTACCGGTGGCAACGCCTTTGCTCGTGACTTCCTTGCCGGAATCTCCGCCATGTATGCTACGCCGTTATACCACAACCTTGCCGATTCAGCTCCTCAGAGATCCGAGTACGCGACTACAGTCCTGGCTGGGCTTTCATGTCTCGTCGTTGTTCCAATCTACGTTTTCTACTGGAAGGGACCTCAGATTAGAAAGGCCAGCAAGTTTGCCTCGATTCTTGCAGAGGATAGGAAAGCAGAGGGGGTTAGGCGGCTTAGCAAGGCTGATAACCTGCCGGCTTGAGTAATCAACACGCAGGGCATGATGGACGTTTAAGGAACTGGATTCCTATAAGTGACGTCAGGAGGATTGCTTCATAAAGCGGTGTATTTCACAATCAGCACGATCGTATGGATAATGGAGTCCTGTAATCACTAGGTTGAGTAGCTATACGACTCAACGAAACTATGAAACAAGATCACTCAGACTATCGTAGCTACGACATCAATGACAACAAACAATTTAAACAAGACCGCTTCTCGCAGACTTTCATACCACCAAGACAGTTTCAAGTCAAGAATAAGAGTTGAGACATTGGCTTGCACCACTACTCAGCAATGGCTGTCGTTCAGCCTACGTTTTACACGAATTCTCCCCATCATGTCAGTTAAGCATTCGCAGAAAAATATTCCTGACTGCAAAGCATGGCTTGATAACCAACCAATTCCTACCCAACACTTGCGTGTACTCTCACAATGCCACTCACTGTACCTGCACCAACCCAACATGTCTCTTCACACGAGCTCAGTCTTGGAGTGTGTAATCGACACTGCTACAACAATCATACCAGACATAAAAGAACGATCCGCTTTGTTCCCACAATACCCTCATCAAAGAAAATACAACAAAACAAACAAACCCCCCCAAAAGACATAGTAACGCAGATTATTAGCCCATTCACAACGCACCGCAACGCACCCGCCAATGCTGCTCTTTGGCCGCAGAAAAAAAGCCCAGTTGCCACCGTCTTCGCGGTACGCAGCAATGCTCGAAAGATGCGATCACAAATCAGAGCCCCCATGCGCTTGCCGCCACCTCCTCGAGCACCTGGCCCTCGTCCCTCATGTAATCGACCGAGGAATAGTAGATGGCAAAGTTGGCGAGACCGACCAGGAACGAGAAGATCATTGGTGCTATCCAATGTGTCTGGGGAGGACCCATGCCTGAAGGAGTTAGCTAGCTTCTAGGATATTTTCAAAGGATTTTCCTACAAGTCCACGCGAAGCCAAACAATCCAATAGGTTCAAATAGCGCAAGTAGAAGAAGTGGCTTCAGACGGCGCTCTGGTGTCATCCAGTCGGGACCGTTCTTCTTGCGCAGGTGATCATCGCGCCAGAACCACGGCCAATATAAAAAGTACGTAAAAAAGTACGACGCGTTGATGGGAATAAATGCCCAAGCCACCTCGAGCGTCCCAAAGCCAAAGTTATTGGGAAAGGTGACGTTGAAAGCCTCCAGGAACGTGAAGATGAGGGCATCCGAGAAACCTGACAGCAGCGAGAGAAGCAATACGATCGGCTCACGGATGAACATCTCAAAGGGTCGCAGCCAAATCTTTCCAGCTTCCTTGAGCGAAATACGGGGCTTCTTTAGTTCATTTGGTCCATAGACGTTGGGATCCTCGCCCGTCTCGCGTCGTCTCTTGGCCTCGCGGTCGATGAGAATGGTGGCTCTGCTCTCGGGCATGAAAAAGTGCACTGCTTGGACCACGACACCAAAGATGAGTTGGATCCAGAAATTCCACTGCCAAGTAAGGTCTCCAGAAATGTCAGTGCGTGCTTTGCAATATAGTCATGAAGGAACTTACAGCGTTCGATGGGACCGCCAATGACACCCCCGATACTTGTTCCGATGGTCGAAGACAGGACAATGAAGCACAGTGGCCAGTGCTGTGTCTCTGGCTCATACATGTCTGCAATAAGACCAAGCGTCACACTGCCACCAGCAGTAGAGAGGCCGCCCTGGTGAAGTTAGTACTAGAGCCACTAATACTAATTTAAAACTTACAAGAGCTCTACAAACAACGATAGTACCAAAATTGGGCGCTACCGAGCAGGGAATCTCCCAGATGTTGATCAGAAACATACTCAGCTGCAGAATCGGCCATCTGCCAAATTCCTCGCTCCATGGTGCCCAGAGCTCGCATCCAAACGAGTAGAAGACGAGATAGATCATCTGGCCGACTCGCGCTGCCTGCGCGCTGATGCCAAAGTGTTCGGCGACGGGGTTGACCGCACTGGGGTATACCGACGTGTTGAAGTTCATGGAGATCTGGATGCCGGCGATGGAAGCTAGATACATGGCCTTCTTCCACTTGGGCCATGAATACGCGAGTTTGTCCCAGCACTCCCACTCGCGCAATTCACGCTTTCCGTCCGGGTCAGGAACCATGGATGGGTGATGTACGCCATTAGGATCAACGGGGACGTCTGTGTGGGACTTTTCGTCGTCGCTCGCCGCGAATGGCATGCTTGGTTGATGCTGGTCGGTGTCCTTTTCAGAGACAGGCTGGGAGCCTGCTCGTGCGGGCGAGGAGTGTCTGGACTCGCTTCCCATGATTGCGAAGCGGGCTGAGGAGAGAGAAAGCTGGAGATGGGACTCGGGGTGTGGAACGAGGCTTCGAGGCCCTCTTGAACCCAGCAAGAGTCCACATTTTGGCCTCCACTGCTCGTATGACGTCTAGCCGTGGCACTTACGGCAAAGAACTGCTCCTCCACTCAAGAAGGTATCCCGGCGTGGGTCCTGTCATCACAGCACGCAGAGCGCAGAACATCGGTCTAAAACTTGACGTTGCGATCGAGACGACTGATGCCATCGGCCACGGGAGGGCGAGTGTGCATCGCAGTGGACCCTAGCCTGACGGCATAGGAGTGCTCTATGGTGCCAGACCCCTGTGGGCCCAACTATCTGACGACAAGCTTCACGGCTGCAACGAAAAATCAGAAGCCATCTTTTTACTCCACTTTCTGCCGGCACGCACGACGAAACGACTGGAGATATGCAGGCGGCTCAAGATAAAGATGGGCCGCGTGGGCCTGGAGCGCTAGAGCCCGTAAGGTAAGTCGAGGAGTTCACATAACTGGCCGAGAGCTTTAGGTGCTTAACCTGCATGGACGCGCAATGACCTAGGACGCGCAATGACCCACCCCACCAAAAAACCTATTGCAAAAGATGAGGCTGTACAGCCACCCACAGTCGCTATTATCACGAGATTTCATAGTGTTGTAGTAATTATAGCATTGCGATCATGATAGGCTACTTATATCTACTTAGTAGCTTAGTAGTGCGGCCGTAGCGGGTGGTCCAAGTTAGGACGGCTAGTGCAGCCACCTTAGCTTATAACGTATTCCACCACCGAGAGTGCCACCCCACCGAGAGTGCCACTTTTTCTTGGCATCGCGAACTTCACGTACGAAAGACAATGCCTCAACAACAGAACGTGATATTTACTCAGCAAGAGGGTAGGCTTACTCTAGCAGTTCAGGCCTATCGTACAGGCCAGTTTAAGAGCATTCGACGCGCTGCAGCAGCCTATAACGTCCATCATCAGCAGATCTCTCGGCGG